TGTGAAGCACGGAGGTGGGTCGGTGATGGTTTGGGGTGTATGGCTACGTCGGGGGTGGAAAGCTAGTATTCATTGATGGAATCATGCACAAGATGGCTTATCTTAATATTCTGCAAAATAATTTGAAAAAAAGAAAGTGCTGATAATTTGGGATTGGGGTCGAATTTCATATTCCAGCAAGACAATGACCCCAAGCACACTGCGTTTGTTGTAGAAGAATGGCTGCTTTACCATTGTCGGAATCAACTTAATATACTTCCACAGTCTCCCGACTTAAATGTTATCGATCATCTGTGGTCCCACCTTGAGAGATCTGTGCAAAAACATCAAATTACAAGCAAGGAACAATTGAAAACGGTATTGCAAGAAGAATGGCTGAATATTGCTCCCGAGACCACTAGACATCTTGTGGAATCGATGCCTCGGCGATTGAAGCTGTCATATCAGCAAAAGGTTATGCTACTAAATATTAACTCTTTATTATTCATGATTTATGCAGGAAAATAGATGCATGTACTCTCAATTTTGTGGCTATTAATTTCTGTTAATTTTCTTTATAAGTTATTATATGTATGTTTAAACTAAGAAATATTTTTTTTTATCATTCAAAATAATTAATTATGATCTAATAAACGCATCTATGCTTAAAGGTTTTAATTATTTCCCTCATTTAATATAATTTTTTCATTCTAAACATTGATTCCCGTTTTAAAAGTAGGTGTACCCTCAATTTTGGGAGTAACTATATATACAGTAAGACCCCGTTTAACGCTGTTTCGTTTAGCGTTGTTTCGGTTTAACGCTCTTTTATTTGAATTGTGGGATTCCCCGAAATAGCACGCAGCGTTAGGCTTCCCGATATCCGAAGCAGTTTATCTGTGTTTCTTCTTTCCGGCGGTATTATATAAAAGGATTTTTATCGTTTCAAACATTTGTTGACGTTATTGTAAGTATAAATTTATGTAAGATAACGATTGATATAGTGGCAAATATTATGATTTTTAGTTTTTATCATGGGTGATAATAAAAAACACGAAAATAAAGCATAAAAAAAAGCATTTCACTAGAAACTAAAATGCAAGTGACTGGAAGATTAGATACTGGTGAACGTCAATCTCAAATTGTTGCTGCATTGAATTTGGCAACTTCAACAATAAGGAGCATTCTTAAGAATAAAGTAAAAATAATGTCATCGGTATATAACTGCAACTACGACAAGCTCTGCAACTAGAATTACCCATTCTAGAAATAATGCAATAGAGGAAATGGAAAAACGACTTTCTATATGGATTGACGACGAAATTGAACGCAAAATGTCATTTAGCCAATCTACCTTCTTGATAAAATGGCAGAAAATTGGAAATACAGAAGAGAGACTGAATGATCTGAAATGTAAACATGCTGACTTAAAATTTTATTTATTTTTATATGCATAATCGTTTATTATGTTTCTATATTTATAATAAATAAATTTTTGTTTTATTATTATAAAAACATAATTAATAAATTTAATGGTAAAATACCTGACCAATTTTTACCCATCTTCCCCTAACCCCCATTATTTTATATGATGAGATAACCTCGTTTAACGCTGTTTCATTTTACGCTCTACTTTGATGGAAAGTATACCGCGTTAAGCGGGGTCTTTTTGTATATACGAGTATATTGTACAAATTCCCAATTTAAACATTTAAATAAAAATGAAGTGTCTGTTTGTAACTTGAAATTAACAGCTTTTTACTAAATGCATTTAAAAGTATATACGGTACTTATATGAAAAAATCATTTTTTAAATTTGTTGTCTGTGTGTGTCTGTCTATCTGTCTTTCTGTCTGTCTGTTTGTTCCGGCTAATCTCTGAAACGGTTAGACCAATTTTGAAGAAACTTTTACTGGCAGATAGCTAATGTTATAAGAAATAACTTAGGCTACTTCAATTATAGAAAACAAAATTAAGGTTCAACGAGAAAATAAAATTAAAACGAATGAAATGGAGAACAATATCCGTTTCAAATAGGGATTATTTTTATTCATTAGGGATTATTTTTATTCATTAGGGATTATTTTTAGTGAATAAAGATTGTTTTATTTCGCGAGCCTTCTGTCTCAACGTTTCTAGCAGTTATATCAAACTTTTTTGTTTGATTTGGTTACTGACACTCACGATTTTTCCCGTTCATGTGTGAACTAATGATTTTAAACAGTCTTCACATCATCGACACTGTCAAAGGTCATGCATCTCTCTTACCCCTCGCTTGCGGTTTCGTTTGTGTTCGTTTCACCCTACTCAGTCCTCACCCCATCGACAGTGTCAAAAGGCACGCGACCCTCTCCCCACCCCATGCTTGCAGATTCGTTTCACCCTACTGCTACTTAGACTTATTTTGAACTGTTGCATTCAACGCTTATAATCATTCCAATGATTTCATTCTCTCTCAAGAACACTGAGCAACATCAATTTTTCCATAACATAGACAGCATTTAAACTTAAATTAGGAAGTTTTTGGGTTTTACGTCATTTGACTTCTCACAAGTCTCCGCATTTAAATAGAGGTAAGCCAATTTCATACCTCTATTGAGGCAAGAGTGATTGTACAAGTTTGAGTGTGCGGTGGAGGTGGCGATCGCAGAGCCAACAGGTTGTTTTATTTGGTTAAGTACAGTGGCGCACACAAGGGGGGCCTGGGGTCCGGACACCCCCCAAACCCTGGATTTTTTTCCGATTGATTATAATTCTAAGTATATAGTACGTAAAATTTAATTAAGTATTTGTTATTAATTAATGCTAATTATTTATTCAATAATTAGTTTTTTACTGTGTTTTGTTCCCGAAAATAGATCAAATCAAAAGGAGCATGATACAAGAATGGTGAACTTTCGACCCCGGACCCCACCCCCCTTGAAAAATTCCTGTGTGCGCTACTGGTTAACGCCCATATTCACCGCTAACCTGACCGCCGGTTAGAAGAAGGAAACCGGGGGTTCGTCGAAAACGTTATTCACCATCTCAAGTTAATAACTTAACTCCGGTTCAAGTTAAAAAATCCTTACCCAGGGTCACAGCTGGGTTAGTTTTAACCGCACATGCACAGTAAGCGATTTTTCGAGTGTTTACGTTTACGTGCAAGTTTTGAAGTAGTTTGAGTTTGGATAGATTTTTAGTTTACGATGAATTCCATTCAGAAAGTTTCCACTGTTACTCAATTTAATTTTTTAGAAAAACTAGAAACCAGAAACGTCAGAAAATTCTATTATATGTAAGTGCGGCTTCATCAAAGCCAACACCAACTCTTTTTCGTACTGCGTAAAATAAATTCTGTTGGCATTCATTTTAAACAGATAGCGATACATGAAGTTAAAAACAAGCTGGCACGAGGCGAAGGTAGAAATTGTAGCTCCAGCCGGAAGTCACGGGGTTTATTCCGACCAATGGGAATCGACCAGTAAATCCAAGTTAAGAAACTCAGAGTCAAGTAACTGGAGGTCGAAAAAGAGCTGTGAATTGGAGTTCTAACCTGGGGTTGACTGCCGGTTACTTAACTCCAGGTTTCATCGCTGGGTCAGGTTAGCGGTGAATACGAGCGTAAGAGGACGATAGTTGTGTTCTAAAGATAGTTGTTTCTAAAATAAATATTCTGAATTATACGTTTTAGGTGAAAAAGTGCACTTACATCCTTAAATTAAGTAAGTTTATTCAAAACTGAAAATAACTTCATTTATCCTGCGCAATATCTATACATATAAATAAAAATGAAGTGTTTGTTTTTGAAATTAACAGCTTTTTACTAAATGTATTTAAAAGTATATACGGTACTTATATGAAAAAATCAATTTTTAAAATTTTTGTCTGTCTGTCTCTCTATTTGTTCCAGCTAATCTATGAAACAGCTGCACCAATTTTGACGGAACTTTCCCTGGAAGGTAGCTAATGTTATAAGGAGTAACTTAGGCTGCTTTGATTTTTTAAAAAAGAATTAGGGTTCTGCGGAAATAAAATTAAAACCAACGAACAATATCCGATTCAAATAGAAATTATTTATTTCAATAGGGATTATTTTATTTCGTGAGCCTTCTGTTTCAACGATTTCTAGCAGTTATATTAAATCTTTTTGTTTGATTAGATTGCTGCCACTCGCGACATTTCGCGTCCATGACCTTTCATTCTAATGATTTTACAGTCCTCACCCCATCGACAGTATCAAAAGTCATGCGTCCCTCTCACACTTTGCTCAGCAAAAAACAAAGAAAAAGAAGTAAAGCAAAAAAGAAACATTGATTCACAAAGTAGAAGAATGGCATTATACTTATTGCATAGGTATTTTTTTACGTGGAATATATAATTATTAAGTTTTCGTAAAATCTGCGAATTGAATTAACACTTTTTTGTTAAATTCCACGTGGACGAAGTCGCGGGTAACAGCTATTTAACATAAAATAAATGCATCAGAAAGTAATATTACCGTATTGCACATCCAGATACAAATTATTTACATTATTTTAATGCGTTTATTACACAAAATTTGTAACAATGTGTTAATTTTGCTGAGCAGAAAAGGAAGGTTTTTTCAAAAATTGATCTATAAGAGAGTTACGGAGCGTCATAAGTAAAAAAAATCTTATTTATCAGCTATTATATCTAGACTTAAAATTTAGCAAACATGTTTTTTTTTCATCTGCGATATGCAAAAGTCTTTCTTTTTGCTGAATTTACAATTCACGTAAAATTAACTCATTAAAAACTTCTTTATCCTTCTGTCTGTATTGCTTAAACTTTTAATTTACCCGTGCGAAGAATGGGTATACCATCTAGTCGTTAATAAAATACTTTACATTCATTCATTCAAGTTCAAATCTATTTTTTTAACTTGTGGTGGATGACACTTGATGTTAATACAGTTTTTTTTAATATTAATTCATTAATTAAACTTAATTAATGAATAAATAGTAACAAACAAAAATAATAGTCCAACAGCATATATAGAAAGGAAAATCGTCCGTTGTCTTCCTGTAGCGTAATAAATAGTGTGTGTGTGCTTTGGACTTCTAATTCAAAGGTTGTGGATTCGAATCCCACCCAGGATGGCTTAATTTCATAAAATGTGATTTCTCTTTTACTATATTATTTTATCAGAATAATTAAACTTAACTGATGAATAAATGGTAACAAAAACAAACAAAAATAGTCTAACACACCATATAGAAGGGAAAACGGAAAATTGCAAGGAAAATCGCTTTCTATTTTGCCACTTAATATTGTGATTCTGTCAAATGTATATACATATTTATATTAATTGTAACTATTTAATAAGAAGTAACTAAAATAAAATTTTTCTTTGTTAACCTAAGAAGGAAATGAGATTAAATTTTTTTTTATATTGCTTGTTATCTAGTTATAAATGATACAGTGATGATGTGGCTGTGGGAAGGTATTTAGTAAAGAGTGTTTTTTTCCAGGTATAGAAGTTTAAGTTGGCATTACTTTCCAAGATGGCGACCGATTTAACAGCTGTCAAGTGATTTATTCTCAGTTTGGTTTGGCAATTCATCAAAACGATCATCAAGCAAGGCGTAGATTCGTCGAATGGGCCCAAAACGAGATTGCCGTTGTTCCCGATTTTCATAAGCGAATTTTGTTTAGCGATGAAGCGCACTTCTGGTTGAATGGCTACGTCAACAAACAAAACTGCCGCATTTGGAGTGAAGCTAATCCACAAGTGTATGTCGAAACACCGTTACATCCAGAAAAACTGACTGTTTGGTGCGCTTTATGGGCTGGTGGAATCCTTCTTCAAAAACGATGATGGCCACAACGTTACAGTCAATGGTGATCGGTATAGAGCCATGATTACTAACTTTTTCATTCCTGAATTGAACAATCATGATGTCCAGGAGCTGTGGTTCCAACAAGACGGCGCAACATGTCACACAGCTCGTGCCACAGTCGATTTATTGAAAGACACGTTTGGTGACCGCCTAATTTCACGTTTTGGACCTGTGAATTGGCCTCCAAGATCTTGTGATTTAACACCGCTAGACTATTTTTTGTGGGGCTACGTAAAGTCATTGGTCTATGCGGATAAGCCACAAACGCTTGACCATTTGGAAGACAACATTCGCCGTGTTATTGCCGATATACGGCCACAAATGTTGGAAAAAGTCATCGAAAATTGGACGTCCAGATTGGACTACATCCGAGCCAGCCGTGGCAGTCCTATGCCAGAAATCATATTTAAAATGTAATGCCACAAGATTATCTTTCGAATAAAAAAAAATCATGTCAATCGAATAATACATCGTTGTTTTATTGCAATTTAAAGTTCTATACCTCTCAAAAAACCCTTTACTTTATGACCCTACATTTAGATTTTTTTAAATTTTCCTCAAAGTGATATTATTTTACGTTTTGTCTTACTTAAAATACTTCTCTGCGTTAAAAATGGACTTGGTAGTTACAAAAACATAAAATGATATTCTTTATTGTAAAAAAAAAAATAAATAAAATCCCATGCATGGTTTCGGTATTATTCTGTTTATTTGTGAGTAATTTATTTAAATATTTTGCAACTATGTAAAGTGTTTTTCCGTGGAAAATGTAAATACAATTTCTCCTTCTTTTATCCATGAATAATCCAATATATGAACAAATATATCAAACATTCCATACATAAATAAAAATTTTATGAAATAACTATTTTAGATAAAAGACAAAAAGAGAAACTTATTTATAGAAAAATGGTATTAATAATAATTTTGAACAAAATTTCTAATAACTGAAAAAAAGGTTATGAATAATTTTCAAGATAAATTTCTTTAGGAAATAAATGCATATTAAAAACTGTTTGCATAGAATTTCGTCTCAAGATCCTATTAAAATTATTTCAATAATCTGAATACCATGCACCCTAAATTATAAGTAACAAAAAAAAAGAAAGAGAATTAGTTAAGGGATTGATGATATTTGTATTTAAAAAATGACATTTTAAAAGGTCAAGTAAAATTTCATTCCTTATGGGTGTGGGCGTAGTCCCCAAACATTTATTTTTCTAAAAATTAAATTAAAATTTCACCTTGCTGTTTTTCAATCAGTATCAGCGACTTACCTTGAAAAGACCTTTCTCAAAGAACAATTACTCTCAGTTCTATTGTCGTTGAAATTAAAATATAATTTTCTTCAGTGAGGATTTTGTACTAAATTTATTAAATGGACAATGAAAACAACCGTTAGAAAGTCAGTCGACTGAATATAAAATAATTTTTGTACAAATGTTATTATTTACTACAAAATGGAGAAAATATTTGAAATAAGTATGTTTTTAAAAAATTGGAATCTCAATAATTTTTTGTAGGTTTTTTTTCTCATTTTTCTTTTTACCTGTGACGTTTATTATAATATAACACGATAACATATCTCTAAGTATGGATTTTTTTAAAGATTATTTGTTCATTTCAAATAAATATATATCAAAGTACCTTATTTTAGGATTTTTATTCAACCCAGAATAAAAATAGTTCTTTTCCAGAGATTTCAAGAAATCTCGAGTCAAATTTAGTTAAATTATTCAAAATATTTTAATATTCTATGTATATAGAAAGGAGCAAAAAATATAGCACTGCTTCTATTAAAATTTTTTTAAAAAGATTTGTCAAACTTCATAATAGCAAAAATTAAATTACATTACCAAGAAAACCTATTTTGATAAAAAACAATTTTTTTTATATAAAAATGAATTTTTTTCTTGAAAATTACAAATATTTTATCGTAAAATGTATTATAAACTAAACTCTCATGAGGGCCAAGGCCTACTGTGCCCACCTCAGTTTTCATGACCATGAATGCTGAGGTGCATGAGTGGTTGTTCCAGTAAGATAGTCAGTCTAACGTGAAACTCCCAATGTTTTTCAATATAAAGTACGCGATGCGACTGTCATGAATTTCGTCCTTTGCACAAATTCCATACAGGAGGATTTAATATCGATTTCTCATTTTCTCATTATTAATATTATGCGATATATTTCATTAGCAGCTTCAAAGCAAACTTGCGACACCTGAAATATTTCGAATTGGTGCATTAGGAAAAAAAACTATCACAGGGAAATGGCTGAATTTGAATAATGTTCCATTGAATGAAAGGAGGAAATACCTGGGCGTGCTAATTACGAAAACAAGTTTATCCGCCCTCGAAAAAAAAAAGTCACATTTTTTTCATTCAAATTTGCCAGCATTAGATGGAAAAACAACTTTGCTACAGGGAAAAATCCATTCATACTACATCCCACATAGCATAACAAAGTGTGACATTTCCATTTTGATGTCGGATTCTGAAAAAGCACTTACAGCCGACTCAATAAAGTGTCGTAGATGAGGAGGGGGGAAATGCTACGTTTTTTTTATTCATTTCATTTCAAAAATGTCAAATGTGTGCCGCAAGTGACGCTAGCGTTACGCCCTTTAAAGGATGGCAAATGCCGAAATGCTAAGCTGTGTGAAGATCTTGTAAAAAGAATAGAGGGGAGAGAAAAGCAAGAAAAAAAAAAATTGGAAAGATAGAATAATTAATATCTCGCGAATTAGTTAGTGAATGAAACAAAAAAATAATAGCAGACGATAGGTCGCCTGAGATAACAAAAAAAAAAAAAAAAAAAAAATTGGTAGTGAAAAAGGTAAAGAAAAAAATAGAACGATCAATTTTCGCTTTACTTTCGGCTACCGAAAGTTACTTCTCAGTCAAGCGAGTAAAAATCAGACCGCCAAATGAAGTAGGAACTATATTTGGCAATCAAGCGCTCCAAAAAATTCAAAATGGATGGTCAAAAAATCGTTTGAAAGATAAAAAGGATACAAAAATATCATGTTTTTTTTTTTTCATTTTTAAAGAAAAAATTATACTTGATTATAATTTATTCTTATAGAAGCTTTTTTTCCCCTTTCGAATAAATAATCAATGAAATGAAAGTAATAACTTTAAATGAATATATTCATACATTGGAAAAAAATTTATTCGGAATACTACTTTTTTTTTGTTGATTCTAAGCTACTGTGTTTGTAATTTGATTTATACCAGCATAATTATTTTTATTTTATAATTTTACAAGGCTATATCACTAGACAATAGAATAAATACATTATGTTTAAAAATGTAAATATACGCAATATGGAATTTGTGTACATATTTCTAACATTTATTAAGCCTGTTCTTACTTGCATTTTTTTAGTCAAACTCCCCCCTTCCTACTTTTTGTTGAATTGAATCGCAATACTTGGGTAACAGACCTACAATTGTGAGGGTCGGGGGATAAATTTTCGAACCGAAAACTATTACCCTACAATATTTGATCTAAATTTTGACTGTGAGCATCAAAGTTCTCATTTAGCATGATGCGGAAAGTTCAAAGAGGGAGGATATATATTAGTTTTAAGCGTTCTCCGCCCCGCAATAAATATTGCTAAAAGCTCTGTCACCATTAGCCTACTATACAGCTCTAAAAAGATGTTCATATTTCCTTACCTTCCCCCTATTCATTTTTTGTAGCTCATCTCAAGCAATTTATATATTACAGAATACTTCATCTAGTTATACTTTATCGATTAAAAGCAATGTTATATTAGTTTGCTAAATTAATTTTAAATGGAGGTATTAAAAAGATTGAAACAATTCTTTTGGAAAAGTAGCTTTTCAATGAATTAGATACCTTTTGGTTTCAAATTCAATTATAAAAAGGAGGAAATAAAATGCAGTATTTGTAATTATTAATTCATGTATAAAATTTTGAATAATTAAATAAATTTTCATGCTTCTTTACTTTGAAACCCAGTATCAATTCACACCATAATTTCTTTTTTTTATGTAAATGATTAAAAATCTTCATTTTAAGTATCAAAATAAATCGTCCATAACGACTTATTTTGTTGAAACTAGTCAACTTGATATTACCTGTTGATTTCGTATTGGCTTAAATATTTGGCGCGTTGGCATTAAAAAAACAACTTCACTGAAAGCAACCCTGCTCAGGTGAGTTGGAGGGTCAAGTCAGGGAGGACAGTGTTTACCACCCGCTCCTTTAAAGCTCGTTGTGGGAGGGGGA